GTTCTACCAATTTGTCATTCGTCCATTTTAGAAGAAATTCCATTCATGTAACTCTTATGAAAATCAACCACAGTTTTACCATATCAAATGACCCAAAGAACACCGCAGGTATCCAGGGGAGATAGTTCACCAGTGCATCTTTAGCTTGATTTTAAAGTCAATCTTAGAGACGATCTGGGTGCTGCAGTTCTCAAAGAGACGATCTGCCTATCCATTGGCTAAAGATTTTTCAAGTTAATGAACTTTTCATTTTCCACACTTTTGATACCAAGAGATTGAGCCAGGAAAAAGCTCAAATCTCAGGGTTCAAACTACAGCATGGAAAAATAAAGTATACAGCAAGCACCATCTACCTCCTTTGCTCTCTCAAAGATGTCAACACTCTATTCCAGTCAGGGGGTGGGGTGAAGAGGCTGAACCCTGGAGGGAAACTTCACCCAAAAGGGGAAAAAATCTGTTTGGTGGCTGTTTCAAAACAAGTTCCCAAACTGTAGAAGGGACTCCAGCCCCTTTGACTTGCAGGAACCACACATAAGAAAAGGACAGAAAATACTACAAGGCAGGCTTATTTTAATTGCCCAGGGGTTTCCAATGCAAAGCACGACAACTTAAATGCATATTCCAAATTCTTGCTCCAAAGCCGTCTTCTTTGTGCACTGAAAAGGAGGAAAGACAACCCCATCAATTGTTCTCTGCAGATAAAGGCACTGTTTTGCAGATTTCCCCCCCAGATCTGGGCCAGCTTTGCTAATGACCTGCCCACCCACCTGGGGCCCTTCTCAAGGTGGCCCTCGGGAGCAGGCCCACACCTTCAGGAGCCCAAATCCTCGCCAGTGGGCAGCCCAGAAGGCTGTCTTTTCGTTTAGCTGTTGGCCTCCACGAAGACGCAACCTGAAAGAATGCGTGCCGCTTATTTTCCTAGAGGAGACGGGGGTCAATAACTACATTTTTAAAAGCCCACATTTTTTTTCCCCTCACGAAAGACATCTGCTGCATTTTCCCTGCAGAGAAAACACGGACTCAAGATCCCAGAGCTATCAGGGGTTCTTTCACACGCCAGCATTAAGGCGGTTTAAGCAAAAGCTGAATGAAAGTTTTCGGAATCATGGCCTTCCCTCCCGCCCCTTTTTTCCTAAGACCACCAGCTGTTAACAGCACACACAAAAGCTCACACAGTGCTATTTTTCACAGGCCCGCGTTTAAATGAGATATGCAGAAAACCGGGCCTGAGCAACGTGGAGGGTTCGAACTCGCAATGGCTTATCCGTGCGACTAATCCAGGGCACCTGGTTTGGAAACGGTGCCTCTGTGCTCCGCTCACGCGCCCCGCCATTGTCCTGGAAGAGAACAGTGTCCACTCCTTGGCATTTTTCGCGACTCGAAGGTGCTGGGGGATCCCGACTCGGGCACGAAGCTCAAAACGGCATCCCCCACCCCCGAGGCGCCGGGGGAGAAACGCTTTCAGTCGGGCCCGGAGGGTGGGGAGGCCTCGGGTAGATTTCAGGTCCAAGCCCCCCCCCCC